CTGTCCGGCTGGTCTCTCCCGGGGCGACCAGAGCCCCCTATTCTGGCAGGGGTCGGCTGCCCGCCGCCGGGGGGCGCGGGGGTACTGGCTGAAGGGTGGGCCTCCCTGCGGAAAACGACGTCACAGCCGCTCCTGCAGTGTGAATGAATCAAAATGCCTGGGTGACCGCGGCCGGCGTGCGGCCGGCACGCGAAGGGTGGCAGGAGAGGGGGAGGGGAGCGGGCGGGGGAGGGAGGGAGGGAGGAGGGGAGAAAAGCCAGAGCTGCAGCAACAGCGTCTCCTCAACCGGGGGACGTGCACCAACCCGGGAGAGCAAGATCAAAGGGATTTGAAACAGACCGAGGACCAGCGGGGGGAGGGGGCCGGCCAGCCCGTGGAGCTCCTCGAGAGGTGGAGGGCCCGGCTGCGCCCGTGACTTCGGCGGCCTCGTTGGCTTTGTAAATTATTATTTTCAAATTTCCGAATCCAGCTGAAGCGAGAGAGAGAGACATCTCGGTAGACTGCGACTCGCTGGCTCTCGCTCCGCTATGATGCAGAGCGCAGCTGTCCCTGCGGAGGGGGCTGTCAAGGGGCTCCCGGAGATGCTCGGTGTGCCGATGCAACGTAAGACAACCCCTTTTTCGCTGGTTTAATTTCATAACAAGGCAGCTAGCAGCCTCGGCCGGGGCGGGCGGACCCGGGCGCCGAGAGCAGCTAGGGGCTTAGGGGCCGGGCGGGGCGAGGGGCCGGCGATCCGGGCGCAGAGGCTGTCACCGGGCACTGGCACAGACAGGTTGCTTGAAGGGCTGGGCTCCTGGCTTTTAGGGTCGAATCTGTAAATCTCCCCGGCAATGCCCAGGTTGAGCCAAGGGTGTGGAACCTTGTATCCTGGCCCTTGGCTTTGCCGAGAGCTTTGGAGAGAGTGCTGTTGGGGGTGGGGTGGGGCACAGGAGAGTGTGCAGCGGGCCAGGCCTAAGGGCAGGGGTGGGCTTTCATCATCATCATCATCATCATCATCATCATCATCATCATCATCATCATCATCACCCTTTCCCGAGGGCGATAGTCAAAGCTCAAACGAAGCTAATGCAACTTTACCCCAGCAGGCGGGAAGTTGGAGAGTGCGTCCGCCGCCCCCGCGGGGCCGCGACGCAGAGGTCCGGGCCGCACGCTCGGTCGCGGCGGATCGCGCGCAGAGCGTGCGCGCCTGGTGCGTCTCCGGCCGCTGCCGCCCGCGGCGCCTATCGCCTGCGCCGCCCGGGACCAATTGATCCCAGTGAGGGAATCCGTTCGCCACATTCCTGCTAGCCCAGGAACGTAGGGAAGGGAGAGGCTTGGGATAGACTTGCGAACTCTCGGTTTTGCCTTGGCGCACTGAAAGGGTGGAGGCCCGGGGGGCTCGGACTCGGGTAAGGTAAGGTGCACGGGCGCTTTGCTCTCCTGCCCGCCAGCTTTTTTCTTGAGCTCGAAATTAAAAAGCAGCTGGAGCTCAGGGAGTGGTTATCCCCAGGTGTGCAAGAGTGTCACGCGCTGGGACTTTCCTGAGGGTACTTGTGTCTGCTCTACGCTCTCGGGTGCAGAGCGGTGCTGGAGAGTCGGTGCGAAAGCCGAAGAGATCGTCGGGGGCGCGCGCTCCTGCCCCGCAGGCTCTCGCGCTCTCTGCAGGTCTGCTCTGAGCACTGCGGAGACGCCGACCGTTCACTCGGCTTGCCAAGGTTCTGTGCTTCTGCATGTGACTTCTTTAATAGCGCCATAGCAATGTTCTCGGACTTGTTTCAAGTAAGGGCCGCTTTACACTCACCCGCCCCCACCCCCAACACCCTGGTGCGCCCTGGTGCTCCACTTTGGGGGTTCAGGTCGGAGAAACCTCAAAGGGCAAGTTGGAGACTGCGTGCTCCCGGCTTCCCTGGGAAGTTTTCAGGAGCAACTAGAAGAGGATAGCTCCACTCATACCTATTTTAATTTTTCTTAGTTATGCCTTACATTTATCTTTTGTCTGTTTTTGTGTCAACTGTCGGCAAACACATTCACATTGGTAGTTCACCATTGACTAAGAAATATAATTCAAATTGGGAATGGAGGTGGGGGGGAGGTTCACTGCCCCTGTTACTGCCCCCACTCCACCACAGACTCAACAGACAGAAGCACAAACCCTGGCTAAAGTACCGTAATCCTTAATCGGCTTGGAGCTCTGCTTGAGCGAGGGGCGTGCGTGTGCCGCCCGCGTGTCCTTACTCCCCAGTGCGCCTGTGCTTTAATAGCGATAGTCGGTAGGTGGCCTGTTGGCTAGAAGAACCGTGGCGGACAGCCTTCCTTGGGCTGCGCAACACCTTTTATTTGCTCCCCCGCCCCTACTCCAACTGTCTCACTTTTTGTTTCTCTTACCCAGAGACCGACTTCGAGGTTCCACGATGGGGCTGCCTTTTTTAATGCCCATATTTGCTTCCAGAGCCTGCCGTTTGTGTTTGCCGTGGCTTCAAGTCTGGGTTTTAAATGGGAGAACTTACTGAGGTAGCTAAGGAAAAGACTCACTCGAGGGCAGCCCAGTGTGGTATGGCTGTGCCAAGCCAGGAGAGGGTGGGCTCTTTCCTTTTGTCTCCCACAGCCCTTTGGAAAGTAACTTTTTTTTTTTTGAGGGGGTGGGTCTGGATTTACCCTCCGTGCTTTGAACAGAGCTGACCTGCGGCTATTAAACTCTTAAGGATGCACAAAGCATGGACCTTTCACCTGATTACTTACACAGTCATTCCTGCTCTGGTGTCTTGCCACCCCCCCTCCTGGTTGGGGGGCCGAGTTGGGGAACACACCTGTGGGCCTCAGGGAATGAGGAGAATCCCCACTCCCTTCAGTAGGCTTTGGAATCTTGAATGAAGAGAGACAACAGAACACACACACACCCCCTCCACCCCACCAAGTCTCTCCAGGACGGTGTAGGTTAACCCCTTCAAACACGAGTACACCTTTTTACTGCATTATAGCCGGGAACAACCCAAATGGAGCACTTGGGAGTACAAGTATAGGGCTTCCCTGAACTGGCCCTTCCAGCCCCTTTGACTTCAGGGGTGTTTGAGAAAGCAGTCAGAATGTGCGTTTGCTTAGTTATGGAGGAGGGTAGGTGTGATGGATTCCTTTTCAAATTCTTCTCACCTACCCTTTTCAAGTACTTGTGACAATTTCACTCCCTCAGTGGGTCTCTACCCGTGACTCAGCCGGCCCTCTTCCTTACCTGGCTACCTCTATCTCTGTCCGCTAGCTCCTGGCCACACTTGTCCTAAGCCAGGAGCCCTGCACACACGTCCTGCCCAGTAGCCCTGGATCGGTCTGCCGCTGCCAGCGCACCCTTAGGACTCGTGCATATAACTTCCCGCATCTTCAGCTCGGGATCTCGGTGCCATACAGAGAGCAGCCTGGACCTAGAAAAGTGGGTTTCTCACCCCACCCGCCTTTGAGCTCGATCTTGCTGTCTGGGGCAGCCAAGCTCCTGCCTTTCCTAAATGTTTCCAAAACCAGGGTCCTTCCTTACCCTGAACAGCGGCGAGAGTGCTGGAAGGCCGCCGGGAAGGAAGCAACACCTTTAGCGGCGCGTGTCCAGGGACCCTTTGAAAGGTGTAGGTATGGGTTCCGATAAAGACCTCAACCTACACTGGCCGGTTACACTACTTGGCCGGCGTGTTAGTGTCAATGTCGCGGGTCTCTCTCTCTCCTCCCAGTGCACAGCCTCCTAGGTCTGTCGCCTCCCTTGCTAGATGCTGAGCGCCTCCAGGGTCTCGGTCGAAGCTCAGCTCCTGGACTCAGCTGACCCTCCAGGCACAAAATATCGATTCCGTCGCCCTCGCTCTCCAGCCTATGGGCAGGTGGGACCTTTTATCTGCCCCTGGCCCTCGTTTTATACCTATTTCCCAAGAAGCCTCTGGGACTCCGAGGGTAAGGCCGATGGACACATGTGGCCTCCGGGGCTGAACAGCGGGGCAACCCACGCAGGAGAAAGGGGCAACCGCCCCGACCCAGCAGAGGATGGCAAAGGGAAAGCAGGCTCGGGACCATCTCCCATCTTTCTTCCAGGTCTCCTTAAATGTATGTTCCCGCAGCCCCTGCAAACCCAAAGCCGTGGGAAAAGGACACTTGGTTTTGCGTTTGGTGAGAACTGGGTGAAGGGCTTCTCCAGGATGCCCACTATCTTCCCTTCCCTTCCATTCCCGAGGCTCCTGCGGGGTGCGTGGGGTGCTTAACAAAAGAAATCTTGCCCTGATGTTGTCCATTGTCCTCTTTCCAGGCCATTTCTCACGGGGTGGAATAAAGTCTGGGAAGGGGGCCCGGATGATATATGTAAGGTATATATGTGTATGTATGTATATATACATACACACATCTATGGATAGGTACATAGAGAGAGAGAGGTTTTTATCAGATGAAGATAACATAAATAGCCTTAGGCACCGCAGACTTCGCCGTGACCTGCGCTACAAAAATATTCTCCTACTTGAGCCGAATTTTAAAAGGTCGGTTGGCGGGGTCAGCGGATCAGTGAGCTGGAAGGTTGGGGTGCAGATTCTCTGGCAGCAGGGACCCCGCGCTTGCTTTGGGCCACAGCTGCCAGCTGCGCACCACCTAGAAGGAGCTTTGCGGAAACCCTTGGGGCAGCGGGTAAAGGCGCGCGCCCGCGTGGCAGTGGACAGTGAGGGCAGAGGAGGGTTTGGGCCCCGCTGTCTCCGTGCGCTCAAAGCGCAGCATTCAGGTTTAAGGCAGGCTGAGAGGATGCGGGACGGAGATACGCTCAGAGGCCGGCCGGGGAAGTCCCAAAGCCCAATGGAAGAGGAAGCGGGCACTAACTCGAGTTTGTTCCTAGCTTGGCCGAGGTCTTAACTCGCGGAACACTAGCGCCAGGCGGGGCTGCGGGAGCGGCGTCCTCGGGTCTAAGAGCGGCGACCTGTGTGGCCCCGAGGTGACCTGGGCAGGGTTCCACAGCGCCGCGGGCAGTCGACGCCTTGGGTGGCCCGGCACCGGCGAGGAGTGGATTTGAGGGGCTTCAGCTGCGCGCCTGCGGGCGGCGCTGGGCCAGGGCGCTCATTGGCGCGCCCTGGATTTGTGGGGGCTCCCGGGTGTAGAGACGGTCGCCCTTCCGGGAAAGCCGCCTCGACATATGCACCTGGTAGCGCTGCTCCGTGAAAAGGTCCAGGCCGCGAAGGGGACACCATGACCTCCGTCCACCGCATGCTACATTCGGCATCGCTGCGCCCTGCCTCCTACCCCCAGTCACTGCGCAATACCCTGTTCCTCTCTAGGCTTCCACTCCGGTCCATCCCGAGGTGCGGCGGTGGCGGCGCCCGTCCACTGCGAAAGTCGCTGCAGGCCAGAGTGGGCTGTGCGCCCTGTTCGGAGCCACGGGGCTGAAACCTCTCGCCCTTCCCAAGTCCATTTCTCGCCAAGCCTTTGGAAACGCCACCCTAACACCAGTGCCGAAATCCCGAGCCTTTGCGGGACTTTTTAACCCTTGGAAAGCCGGGGGAGGGGCAGGGGGAGGGAGCAGCTCCCGCCTTCTAGCCCAGGCTCTGAGCCCTGCGGCTAGCGCTTAGGGGACTTGGGGGCACGCTCGCGCACCTCTGAGGCCCGAGCGCCTTACCAGC